TTGAGTTTTGTGACTATTTCACGAATTGCCGTGAGACTTGGTTGTATATTCTCTTCTTTACTTTCAGGCACTCTATGAAATGGATTTCTAGAAACTCGACAACACAGCAAACAAAATCTTAGAGACAGAATACAACAGCACACCTGTCTGTATAGAACATGTTCAGTTTCACACACACACACAAAACACTATATGAAGAGTTCATGACATGACCTCTGTCTTTGGCTCCACCTAGTGGCGCACTTTTGGTATCGCTCCTTTTCTTGTGCAACAAGCTGGAGGGATAGGTGAACCAGTGTTGCATAGGAAAGTTGAAACAATACTAAAGATGCTCCACTAGGTGGAGCCAAAGGCAGAGGGTATGTCAGTTATTCTTTATCTCTGAGTTAAAAGTTTTCTGTGGTTTTGTTCTCTTTAGAGCTCTCTCTCCAAGACTCGCAATGACATTAAAGATCAGATCAACACAAGACACCATGATGTGACTCCAGATCATGGAAGAGGGGAAGCTTATGATAGCGATACAAGAGGCGAGAGAGAGAGGAAATTTCATTCTTTTGGGGTTTTTTATGTTGTATGTGCTGTGCCCTTTAACAAAAGGCGTCATCATTGGTCAGTTTAGAATCAGCAGTTAACCTTCCATGTATGTGTTTGGACGGCAGAAGAAAGTCGGAGCACCCAGAGAAAACTGGCATAGTCACAGGGAGAGAACATGAAGTCCACACAGAAAGAAGCAGCCGACCAGCAGGTTGGTACCAATACAAACACAATGTGCCTTGTGGTGGTGTCTTTTTACATACTACTACTGAATGTGAATCTCACACACGTTTCTGTGATTCTTTTCTTCCAACGCAGTGACTTCAGAATCCAAGAAGACAAAGAAACAGTTCAAGGAGCCCTGGAATGATCAACAACAGAAGGAACCAGCCAGGAAGAGGAAGAAGATGAACAGCTCCAGATATCTCTAAAGGTAAACTCGCCAAATTCATTGTGTCTACAGATAAAGTCATTAGGATCACATTGTGCTATGTTGCAGCGTGAACCCTCCAGATGATGTGTATCATACACCATAGGTCTAATTTCAGGCAAATTCTGTCACATTTCAATATTTTTGTTTTTACTCCAAATGGAAAGGTGACTGTAAACACTCAAATGCATCATTTCTGTGTCTGTCTGTGCCGTTAATCTGTCTGTAAGTGCTGTTAGTTGTTTCTCGCCCACCCGCCTCTTACTCAGAGTTTCTATGTTAATATTCAGTTCTTCATTGATGTAGTCTCAGTACAGATAAAGTCATTGTAGTGACTGAATTTAATATACATGTAGATGTTGTTGGTTTTTCTCAAAATGTAAATGAACCAAGCCAGGCTGCTGGAGGACGTCCCATGATGCACTGAGCACCTCTCCTCTGCTCTCCTCTTTGTGTCTTCATACAGTTAGATGCCACCGTTGTATGCCACGAACTTTGTGTTCAATCCTCTGTGCAGGTATCTCTGGATCTGGAGCTCCACGTTTCTGACCTGCTGGGACTGGACTCAGCAACCTCCACAGTCTTCATGTTCTCTCCCTCCTCTTTACCCCATGGACTGTATAAAAGATGGACGTAGCAACCGGCCCTGAAAAATGAAGCCAACCCGTAAGTGTCAAAAACCTACGTCCACGAGCCATTTTTGCGTCACTGGCTCCAAAAATCCAAGATGTCAAGCAGGAAGTAGCAAAAACTGGCTTCATTTTCTCAGTGCAGAAACCAACGGGTGACGTCACGGTAGCTACGTCCATCTTTTGTACAGTCTATGCTTTACCCTCATCCCAGCCAGAGGTTGTTTTTTTTTTTAACTTCCCGGAGATGGGAGTTTTTTTTCCTCCACAAGTGCTTGATGTGATCAAACTACTGAAAGAGAGAGCCTCAAAAAAATTACAAAACAATACAACTGGAACTGGTTGTTTAAAAGTTTAACATGATGTACCCTTCCTTTGATATTAGTTTGTGGAGAGCATATTTTATGGTTAGAAATTTACATTAGCCTAAAAACTGTGTTTTCAAACCTTTGGTTTCTCAAAAACAGCTGTGACTGCATCTTAAAACGGTACAGCATTTGAACATACCACTGGTTATGTGATTACGAGTGAATACACAGGACAATAAATTCACTGAATACACAAATGCTGCATACAATAGGATTAACACATTGTGCTCATTTTGCAGATTACACTAAAGTAATCTACCTGCACAAATCACAAATAGAAAACATGAAGTAAAAGTGAGACTCATCCAATATTGTTTATATTATGTTGCTGCTGACATGCTTCACTTCTGTACATTTTGGTCATTCCACCTATTTAATATTGTGTGTAATTTGAATTTAAATTTCTTCTTTAATTGATTTAAAACTTAAGAGAAATTGAGGTAGCTTCACGAAATTAGCTAAATAATTACAGGACCCTGCATAATGTTTTGTCAGCACCTTTATAGAAGTCCTACCTTGCTCATATCCATCCAGTACAAATATGTATTTACACATCTAAAAATGAAGTTTGTACCAGTTTGATTCTTCAGAGTATTTTTTTTATCATTGTAAAGAAAAACAAGCAGTTTTAAGTTGATTTAGTATATATATAATTTTTTTAATCTTGTGACTATAATAACTGAAAAATGTCACTGAGGGAACACATGTGATACCAAAATAAGTGAAGTTAAAGAGGACACAAAAACACTTGTGAAGATTTTTTTGAATTTTACTGATAATCATTTTTAATGAGCAGTGTTCTATACATCAGAATGAATATACCAAAAATAGAGTGCAATGACTTCAACATTATTCTGCTGCGACAGGTAGCTGATAGTACACAGACAAGATAGTACCAGATAGTACAAATACTAAATACTGGTAGAGGGAGAAGCTGCTTCTTGCAGGCATACATGTCCTACTGATGCACAGGAACACTAATTATAGTCAGTGCAACGAAATGACAATAATGTGACCACATTTAACACTTCAGTTATATACAGACAGGATACAGAATGTGTCACTGGAGCTCTATTGAGGTTTATCAGTAGTCATCATGCATATTTTGAAAGGAGTACTAAAATTATTGTAGAGCCACATTTACACAGTGCACTGAGGTAGCATGCAGGGAACACAGAGAACGAAACAAACCATGATCATTGCATTAAAGATACAAAACATTATTATAAACCAATGCTGACAAATCATATACCTGATATTGTTTGTTTAATGCCCAAACAAGAGGCGGTTGTTATAAGAAATATTTTCACGACAGTTCACCATCATGCATTTTCATGTCTAATAAAGACAGAAGAGATGAAAATGGGGATTCAAACTGCACTGGTGAAGTTGGATCCATGAGGAAGAGTGTGTACAGTGTGGAGGACCTAGACAGTGTTGTAGAAGTTAATAAAGCAAAGGCTTTAGCAGTTCATTAATAAAAAAAAACTCATTTCACAGAAACATATAAATAGCTGACACTAATGTTTGAGAAAAAAAATGAATTAAGACAGAAAAAGAGAAGACGAGGGATGTAATTTGTAAAGTAAAGCTTGGTGTGGTCTTTTAATGGAATTTCTTGACAATTAAAAAAAATAAATAAATATGAATAGGTTTCAGAAAAAAAAAAAAAATCCACTTTGTAATCCGCCATCAGAAGCTGACATTGTTTGTACTCGTTGATCCTTCAAAAACGATTACCAGAAATGACTATGATTCAATAAAAAAATATATATGCTAAAGTTTTAAAGTTCACTTTTGACAGCAAACAAAACAAATGTTGCTGCAAGATCAGTTTTGCATCTGTTCTTATCTGGAGCTTTTGATCATGTGACATAAATTACATAAATTTCATATGTCCATGTTTGAGTCAATGAATCTCATCTTTCAGTACCAACACTGACAAAAAAAATCTTTTAAGTGCTCCAAAAAAGCAAACATCAACAATTCCATAATAAATTGGAAAATCAGTCTGCCTGTGAAATGATCAAAAACAGCCACTAAATGGACCTTACAGCGGGATTGTTTTTACAACCAGCGCACTGTTTTATCATTTATTGGTGGCGTCTACTTATGCAACTAAGTGGGTTTTTAAAAAATATATCTTTACCTGCACATTTAAACAGAATTGAATGAGCTGCTTTATAACCATGTGACCGGCTGTCTAGATCCTCATCTTGATGCAGGTGACAGTTTACGGTTTCCATAGCCTCAGCAGACCGTCCTCGCTGTACGTGGCGATCAGATTCTCATGTGGGTGGTGAGCGATGCCAATTACATCTTTCTCGTGAACCTGTGGGTGCAGAGGAACACAGATGAGCACACATTACCCGTCGGCCACCTTGTTTCCTTGTTTCAGGATTGCTACTCAGCGGCAGTGACACTTCATTCTCTGCATCAAGTGAGACAAAGAGTAACCAAAGTAGTTAAAAAAACACTGGCTGCCCAGTTTTTAATAAGTTGGATAAACTGCCTCCTCTCAAAGGCTTTGATAATGGGTGAATTTTTAGCAGCGGGGCTTACAGTCAGCGTTTTCTCCAGCCTTCCTGTCGTATAGTTGAAGCAGTACAGCACTAAGTCCTCTCCCACACAGTAAATCCACTCCCCACGGGGTGACAGGGTGCAACACACAAAGTCGGCGCCCTCCTTTCTGTCTGAGCTGAAGGTCTTCACAGTCTGAAGAGAGAGAGGAGAAGACATTAAGCTTCTACGAATATATCCAGGTACCGTGTGGGTATGAGTGAAACAACAATACCAGTAAAATACTGCGCTAAATAATGCCCTTTAATAGCTTAACATTTTAATCACCTTCTTTCCAAAAGCATGATGTGAAGATTGATACCATTCGCTAAAAATTGCAAACAGTAAACTTCGATTCTTTGATCAGCTGACTCTAAGAGAGTCAACTGGTCGAGAACATGTAAAATATTCTCAATTTTTAATTATTTTTTCTAGCTGTGGGTCAAATAAAAAGGCAATTTGAATGACCTTAAACTGTGGGAAATTATAACAGGTGTCTTGCACAAATTTTTAACTATTCTATAGAGATTCTAATAACGATTAACTGACAAAATATCTGTCAGATTAATTGATACTAAAAGTATTGCAGTCCTAATTCTTTTTAACAATCAATAAGTCTTCCTTATTAGATTCAAAGACAGTGGAAGAGATTGGATCCATTGCAGAGTTCTCACCTGACCGTGCATGCTCATGACAACCACTGTGTTGGAGTGGTTACAAATCACAAACTGTTCTGGGTTTTGGGGCAGAGGAAGCACATTGTTGACGGGGACATCAGATGTCCTTGACGGAGATTTGAAGGTGTGGATGCAATTGCAGGATTTTGTGTTCCAAATCTAAAAAAAAAAAACAACACACAGGTGATAATTTCATATTTCTGTGCACTGCAGCACTTTCTGAGAGAACAATACAAGTGAAGCACAGGCCTGAAGTGCTGTGTAGTATTTGGCTTCACATTGTTGATGCTAATTGTACCTTGACTGTGCCATCCGATGAGGCGCTGATGATGTGAAATCCATCTCGAGTGAAAGATGCATCATTTACAAATGACGAGTGCCCATGTAGCTCCTTTAGTGTCTTGCCTGACCTCAGTTCATGGATTCTGAAAATGAAAGTGTTGACATTAAATATGCTAATATGCAATAAAACAGGCAGCGGTGATTCATTTTAACAATCCTCTCTTCAACTCAAAGACAGAGTTCTTTTTTTTTTTTTCTTTTCTCAAGTGCAGAGAAAACGTGCTGCTCAGCAGCCGATGGGTTATTTTTAGCTCCTGTGAGTGACTGGGTGCAGATTAGCTTCACCATGACAAAACGCCTTAATGCTCAGTCATTCGCTTCGTCTCAAGAGGATGATTTATCATTTGTAAACATTTCTTCCTGCTTGTGGAAGTGCAAGTGGAGGAACACGTTGCTGCTTTGTGCCTGAGCACATGGGTGTCTTAGCTACACCCACACAGCACATGTGCTTCCAACACAGCGGAGAGGCTCAGCTCACACCCCCCAGGAGTCAGAAATAATATTCAACTCATCATCTGTGAAGGGGATTCAGTGTATGCGTGAGGGAGGAAGTGAAACTCAGACTTTCTTGTACTTTGCAGGCGCTGCATATTCACAGAGAGGAGCACTAAGTATCTGAAAAACACGTGAGTTCAGGCATTGACTGTTTCTATGTGTGATGGAGTTTTGTCAATGTATAAAAAGTATTCCCATTCAATTCCAAGTGACTAAAAGTTACAACACATACAATTCAAATGTTTACATAGTGACTAATGTATGAATAATTAAAAATACTTTTAAAAGTCTTTATTCATTTATTTGCATTTTTGCCCCAAAAATTATAAAAAATCACTCGAAACAACAACGAGCCACTAGCAAATAAATTAAATGTTCATTTATAGAACATTATCCCTATTGTTATATACATATTGTTGCATCATTATACCTTAATTTACCGAAATTAATCGCAATTTTTTTTATCAAAAACACCTAAAAATTGGCCAAAAAAATTACCCTAACGTAACAATTTGAGCAAATGTAGAATGAGATTACTTTAAATTACATTCACATTCGTTGTGTCTTTTTCTTTGGCATTATTCAGTTTTGGCATTACTGCTTTTACCACTTATGGATGTCTTAAGTCACACTTTTTAGGTGCAGTTATTTATTCTCTGCAGTTAAACCACTGCATCAAATTAATACAACAACCCTTGAAAACTTCACCACTACAATGGTTGTATCTTTTTTTTTTCTCAACCGCAGCACCTAGAGACGCTCAGTCGGTTCCCATATGACTCTAAATGTGCTCAACCAGACAGATGAGAAACCCCAAAAAAAAGGTTAAATAAATATAACAATAAAACTTTTAAGGGAGTTTTTGCTGTTGTTGTTGTTGTTGTTTCCCATCTACTTTCCCACATTTTGCTAATCCACTGTGGGATGAATAAAGAGCTCGCTGCCTTCCTTCGGCTGAACTGACGCCCGTGTGTGCTGCTTGGAAACTTTTGTGAATCATGGATGAGGTCAGCCAGATCTCTCGCTTTCCTCCCACAGCAGACAAGACAACTTTTGCCACAGCAGCGCTCGTGAAATCGAACAGGTCTCCCACTGTGTGTTTTTGGCTATAGCTGCAAATACATTTTTAAAATTTATTTATTTATTTTATAAAACTTGAATGCATATTGACTGTATCTAATCTAACTCACTTGTTTATTACATTCAACTTCATATATCAGTTTTTTTTTTTAATCTTATTGTTTACAGACTAATTGAATGTAATGTTAACCCTTTGTGTAACTAAGGTATGAGTGAAGCTACTACTATAAATATCCGTCAGCTGTACACATTTCACCTACGTAGAGCACATTTCTATTCATATTCTCAGTAGGATTACACAGCGCCACACACCTGCGCAACATAAATACACATGCAGATGCTCTGGTCTATTTTGGGAACCTGCAGCTGCAGTCTGCTCTGTGTTCACCTTCTACAGAAAACATCGTATCCCACCTGATGGTCTGGTCGAAGGAGGCGCTGAGAATGTGGTTGCTGTCTTTGGAGAAGCTCAAGCAAGTCACGCCTTTGTTGTGAGCATGCTCGAACCTGCGTAGGCACAAGCCACTCTGGATCTTCCACACCTTCAACACCATCACACACACACACACACATTTTGAGAATAGCATTATTAACTCATCTGAAAACACAGTTTTTCCAATATTTCAGCCTTAACATTAAACACAGTTATCGGTTGTTTATGTTGACAAATACACATCGATATAGACCTTTATTTTGCCATTCTGAGCTCCGGTAGCCAGCAGGTCTGTATCCTGACTGAAGCACATGCACAGCACAGCGTCATCCATCATCATGAAGCTGTCCTGGCCCTGGTACTTCAAATCCTGTTTCACACAACAGGAAGAATAATGAAATAAACCACATTCTTTAGTTGGCTGTTTAAACAGATAAGGTCTTGTTAAGTTTGAAATCTTATTCTAAAAAGCTATTTGGGCAACAGGGCAGCACTCAAACACGGTTCAAACAATAAATATAGGCCAAAAACAATATGGAAAAAGTTGTTGTGTAATATAATACAAAACAAATGTCAGTATGCCTTGTGCCGTGGTTTGTTAAATATTCACCTTACTAATTTTTCCAGTGTAGAAGTTCCAGACCTCGATGAACCCGTCCACTGATCCGGTGACTAAATACTTTCCATCAGGTGAGAAACGGGCACATTCCACATGTGACCGTCGCCCAAACTGTAGAGTCAAATCACACACAGAAACTGCTTGTCAACACTTTCAGACAACTCGCTTTCCTATTTGATTTACAGTCTGCGATTCAGATGCGCGCAGAAATAAAGCACAAATTAATATCCGGTGACCTCGGGGAGACATAAAGTCTCTCCAACAGTCTGCTGCTGCGTGGGCTGACCGTTCTCACTTATCACCTCGGGCGGCTCCATCTGGATGCAAGTGATGAGAGAGCAGCCAGAGACTAGAGGAGGCGCCTTCAGGTGAATAAACTAATTAGTTTTGGGTGTGTATGTGTGCGTGTTGGGCTAATGACCAAGAAGATATAAAGTACAAGGCGTCAAGAAAACAAGTTCTTCTTTGCTACAAATGAACTGAAATGCCAAAACATCGTCCCACGTGAGGTCGGTAGAATGTATGATCCTATATTAGTCAGAACATGTTGTGTTTACCTTGATGTGGCGGTACAGCTGCGTTGGAAAGCTCTCTTTCTCCAAAAGTCTGCCCTTGTTGTTGCTAGTCGTTTCGATGGCCATGTCAGGGGAGAGGTGTCCTGGATATTGCTGTAGTCTCAAAGACTGGAACACGGATGACAAGCAGTCAACAGAAAAGGTAATGTGAAAGTTTAATCAAGAATACTAACAGTTTAACTGATCTTCTAAACTGATCCTCCATTGTAGCGTTGTGGTTCCCTACAGCATACACAAGTATCCTTTGGAATAAGTTTTCAGTTTTTCCAAGTCAGAATCTGAATAGCAGCCATATTATTTGGGGTATCATAGGTTTAGACAGGTTTTTAGTAAATATTTATTTTACTAAGCATATATATATATGTGTGTGTGTGTGTGTGTGTGTGTGTGTGTGTGTTTGCTAAACTCAACTTAAAGTACATACCTGAGCACATTGTCATGCAAATGCAACTACGAGTTACCCAAAAAATGTACCATATCCCCCTTTGTTATATCTAACAAGAATATATAACAAAAAAAAAGCATATTCAGTCAATTAAATTGACAGTTTTCTCTTGGTCTGCTTTAATCAATGAAGCTTAACTGCACACACTAAAACTTTCAATCCCCTGAAAACTAGTTTAAATTTTAAGTATGTATTTAAACATTCATGACTAAATGTGCAGCATTTAACGTTAAGATTTGTTTAAAAAAAATCACTTTTCAGTAGATTAACACAATTAAAAAACTCAGGTAATCATTGTTATCAGGACTGTGTTGGTGTGATGTGATTGACTGTGAATGGTAACAGAGCAACCACTAATTGTCATTCTGTTTTTATTTCAGATTGCTAAACTGAAATTTAACGGTCCATGAAAATATGCCCTGCGATTTAACAAAAACTGTTCAAACTTCTGTGTTCATGCAGGACCACATTGCTCAAAGTTAGAGGTTGACTAAAAAAATGTGTTTTCAGTACCACTCATTATGTTTGTGTATAGTAAGAGCATGACAGAGATTGTTTGGTATCTTTTCAGTTATGTGCATCGATTAGATGGTTTCCCTTGCCATATAATTAGAGTGAGCAGTGAGAAGGATATCGATCAGTTTACTCACGCTGACTTGTTCCAGGAGTCCCATGAGGCGTGAAGGAGGCACCACGCTGACCTCCCTCACCAGAGCCTCAGCGATGGCTCTGCGCCGCTTCTCCTTGCTGCTGCCTTTGGGATACGCCTGCAATCCCAACGAGAGGATGTTACTTTATAAATCACTCTCTGATGCAGCTGAATGTACAAACGTTGGTTTTCATACCTCACGAGGGTCAAAGTAGGAGCATGTCAGCAGGTTCTCCAGATGAATGTACCTCTCTGGCTGCGTCTGCTTCAGCATGATCATGGGGTCGGTTTGTCTGAGGAGAGAGCGAGCTGCACCCACCTCCCTCATTTCAATGAGCTCCATTACAACCTGTTGAAGAGATCAGAGCTGATCAGAGGCTGTTGATAAAAAAAATTGAATAAAATTTAAGAAAAAAAGACAAAACGAACCAAGAAAAAGCTTTCACCAAAAGCTTACCTGCTCATAAAGATCAATAAGTGTGTTGTCGGGCAGCTTGAGGGACTCGATGGCCAACAGCACAGAGTCCCAGTGGCCTCTGTTTATGTCTGCGATAAAGCTGTCGATGCTCTCTACTGTGTTGAGTGAGACGGTGGTTTCCTCTTGTAAGGTGGTCAGCGTCCGGTAGAGGTTGTTCTCCTTAAGGTACTGCATTATCAGGCGGATCACACTACAGAGACGAGGGGTAACTGTTAGCCACAAACCGGCTGAAATCACCGAAAAACTGCTTTTTTTCCCCCATGTGACTTCAACCAAATAAACAAAAGTCAAAACAAGACGAGAGCAGTGATTCTGCCTCATGTGGTCCCATTTCAGAGCCACCTGCTGGATGTAATTGTGTTGCTTTAGATCCTCCCCTCTGCTGTCACTCCATCCTGCAGGACACTGAGCTTCATTGTTTTTTCACGTGCACTTCTGTGCAGAGACATGCACCAGTGGCACCTGCTGACCACATTAACTTCACCCACTGATGCTCTGAGCCAGTTTCTCTGCTCAGTTTACTGTCATTTTAACCTCCCACTATAAGAAACCCACCAAAAGATGGGTTTGGTACAGATGTATATATCCCCACGTTTACCCACAGGAGGACAAAATCAGTAAGCAATACAAAAAAAAAGCAGCACACCCACACCCTCAGCCAGGGGCGGAGAGAATATTAGATCAACAGGCACATGTAGATGAAGCAGCCACTGTGTATACTGACTGCAAAACAGCCTGGACCCTCCTCTTGCGCAGAGTAATCACATTAAATGTCTCAATTCGACCGTTCGAGCATTAACCAAATTGGGTATTTGGCCACGACACTGACAAGAATAAACAGTCTGAATAACGAAAGAACATCTGTGATTGGAGGAGAGGTTTCACAAACGCCACATGGGTGCACTGACAATAAATAACAGCGTCACAGCAGGGGACAGATTTATTTGCAAAGTTGATTTCACCAAAAGAAACATTTAGAAACATGCAAACATCACAAATTCAAACGAATGACTCCAAAAACAGGGGGCTACATTTCCAAACTTGATACGTGACAGACACTCAGAAAATCTGCTGTTTTCTTTTGTTACAGTCAAACAAGTGGTCGTTTGGTATTATTATTTTTGTTTCTTTTTTTTAAATCTCCAAACTATCACAGAGAAGTTAATGATAACAGAGAGCGCACTTACTCGGAGGGTTCCATCTCCACGGCCATGCTGATGTTGTCTGCTGCTGCTGCTGCACCGGACTGACGGTGGTTCTGCTCGGGCTCGGGCTCAGCGCTCGCCAGAGCCACGTGAAAACCGTGTGCCGAGGACCACCCACTACACGTGCTTTTTCCTCTGTCTCGCTTTTTTTCCCTCCCGTTTTTTTGCGGCGGGCAGCAGTCCCAAACCTTGTGACTGCCACACAAAAGTCTGAGGAGCCGCACCTCCTCCCTGACGCACAAGCCGATACACAGAAGAAAGGCGTTCCTGGGCACGTTGTGTGCAGGAGACGCGGCTGCGCTCCGAGATGCTGCAGCGGCCACAACAGCAGCATCAGCACCACCGACACAACCTCGTGGCTCAGAGCGTGCTCCCCATCTTTTTTTTTTTCTTTTTTCTTTTTTTTAAGGAAACCATTGTTCAGGACCCAAAACAAATCGTCCTCTAACGGAGAATCAGCTCATCAATATGCAGATACAGAGCTGGGTGCGTCTCTTCCTTATATGCCCATCTTCAGCATCAAACCACTGCACATGCTGATCACCACCGAAGCCTGTGTTTTCCTCCATACACTTACACACTGCGGGGTTTGATGTTTTGGTGGGTAGTGAGTGTTAATCAGCGTCGATGTTTGCCACTTCACTCCGAGTGTTTATTTAATTAATCTGCCTGCTTCTGCTTGAGCTCACACCTGCTTAAATAAACCTGTTGGTAAGCAGGAGCCTCGTTAATCCACATGACAGTGTTGATCAGTCTCGTTCTGCAGAGAATCACCTTGAAGGGCCTGACTGTCAAACCCACGTGGACAAATCACACGCAGAAATACGCAAACATGCAGATGCAAAAGACTTTGTTTAAATTTCAATGCGAATAAAAGATGGATAAATACAAGGCAAAAAAGATATATAAGAATGATGGTAACATCCATCCATCCATCCATCATCTATACACCTCTTAATCCTCACGAGGGTCGCGGGCGGGCTGGAGCCTATCCCAGCTGACTTAGGGCGAAGGCAGGGGACACCCTGGACAGGTCACCAGTCTATCACAGGGCTACACTTAGAGACAGACAACCAAGCACACTCACATTCACACCTACGGACAATTTAGAATCACCAATTAACCTCAATACGTTTTTTGGACCTTGTGGGAGGAAGAACCCACGCTGCACGGGGGAACATGCAAGCTTCACACAGGGACGCGAACAGGCGACCTTCTAGCTGTGAGGCAGCCACCGATCCGCCTTGCAGCCCCATGAAGGTAACATGAATCACAAAATCTGACTATTGTTTACAACAGGTCAGGGGTGAATTGACAGGTAATGTGGATCTGCCTGCAGATGTTTAAAGACCATATAGCAGCAGTTAAACCCATAAAGGAAGATGTAAATGATCTCTGTGTTCCACTTTAGGCTGCAGCACATTTGTAGAAATTCTATATTCACATTGAAATCACTGCTCAAAGGTCTGGTGCAGAATTTTCTGAATAGTACAGATAAGCACTGATGTAAAAACACACATAAGAATGAAGCAAACTGAAATGAGTGAGAGTTATCTTTAGACTATGGCAAAGAAATGCCCAAATCCACACAGAATAGACAGGATTCGGAGGAGTTTGCTCCTGAATGCATCATTTCCCCTAAGTAGCAACGCTGTGATGGCCGAGTGGTTAAGGCGTTGGACTCGAAATCCAATGGGGTTTCCCCGCGCAGGTTCAAATCCTGCTCACAGCGTCAATTTCTTCACCTTTGATCCTCCTAATCACCTCAGGCTGGATATTGCTCTCGAAGCCTCTCTTCTTAGCATAACCGAATTATCAAATAACACCAACATACGAATAAATACTCCAAATAATAAGCTGGGACTTTAATGTAGGTAAGTGAACGCACCAATATCTCACTTATGTCGCCGCTCTTTGATTTATCGCCACGTGATCTGGCATTCCCGCGAGATTAGGAGCAGGCAGCTTCTGCAGAACAGGTGAGCGTTAATTAATCACAGCGCCACATTGTCAGATTGTGCACGATGAGTGGTGAGTTTCTTCGAACCTTTTCCTATCAGGTAAAGTGTTCAAAGAAGTTTGCATCTCAAATGTTCTCTCACTCTCCTGCGGTACACAGCAGCCTCGGAAACATGCCAGTGAACAACAACCAGGTGAGCGTCATTAATGGGAAATTAATTCCAAAGCTCCATGTGCTCTCCAAACCTCACCTGTATGATTCAGTGTTTTATACTCCAACTTGTTTGACACTTGATATTTCACTGTAATGTATCCCCATGGACTGTATCTGGATGGAGCTTTTGTCTCTCTGTTGTGTTCTTGCAGACAGCACAGAGTGCAGTTTCCAGGTTGGCCAATCTGCCTGTGGTTCGTTCAGCTTGTGCCAAACTGTCAGTCTTGTACACTGACACTAAATGCAGCCATCCGAGCCTGAGGTCGGTGTGTGACATGCTGGAGAACAGTGTGATAATTTTGGGCTCGGCGGCCCTTCACAGGTTCTCACCTGTCATTGTTAAACTGGAGCCCCAGAGTGAGTACAGTGTTGACTATGGTTGGTGTGGTTAAAGGCTGTTGTCACAATGCTTATCTGACAGTTAATTCACATGACATTATTTCTAATTGATCTGTAAACTGCGTGTCAATATTCAAAAAACATCCATTACTTGCAACATCCCAGAGCCCAAGGTGATGCAGATCGCTTGTTCTGTGCAAATAGTTGTCCTTTATCCAAACACGTCAACACTAAAATCAATATAAAACAGACAGAACAAAATAAGGAGTGCTCACATTTGTTGAAGTTTGGATTTCTTTTCAAATGTTTCAGTTCTAGTCTTGGTGACCTAAAGGTTTTGTCAGGGTTTTAAAGACAGGTCAAGTCTGATGAGTGCAGTTGTAGAAATATTCAGAAGGACTGCGAGCTCAAGAGATGTTTTCTTATATTTTGATGTGTCCAGTCAGCAGCATCCAAATGATAAATTAGTAATTATGAGGCCATGCAGCATCATTTCAAAAAATGAATATTAGTGAAGCTTATGTTGTTGTTTGTTTTGTTTTTTTGATGATTGGTCTAAGTAGCAATTTCAACAAAAAACACTTCATCATGGTATGTTTCCATAGTTGCCGTTGCAAATGGTGTTGCATGCAAAAGTCTTGATTGGCTGGAGGCTTCATTCCCCATCCTTGTATCTCCCACAGAGCAGGTAACATTTCTTTTCATCTTTCAAATCCTGAAGAGCCCCATAAACTGCACATTTCCACTGAAAGACTGAATGAAGAGAAGATCATTTTTGTTCTGGTTTTGTCTCCAGTTTGCTGGCACTGCCGAGAACAAAATGCACAAGATTCAGGATGTGGTGGGCACTGCAGCCGGTGGAACTAAGGAGAGTGTACAGCACACAGTCATGTGGCTGATGAACAGGATGCATCAGGCTGTGAGTGGAGCGAACCAGTCCCTTGTTAAAAGGGCGCTCAGTGTGGCCAGTGAGGGTCTGGACTCTGTTCTGAACCTGTCAGAGGCTCTGGTGGATCAGCTGCTTCCCCCGACTGATGAAGATACAGGTACGTAATGTAACTGACAGATTCTGGTGGGAAACTGTGTGAAGTCAATTTTAAAACCTACATTTGCCTCTGTCTGTCATTAGAAGAAGAAGAAGAAGAAGAGGAAGAAGAAGCCCATTTGGTGGAAGATTTCGATGCTGCCACTCTCAGAGGACGTTACGCTGTGCGACTGGTCTCACTGGCTGCTGAAGTGTGTAGGAGGAGTTACCACGTAGCTGGATCCAAGATTCAGTTTGTTCAGGTGTGCTGTGAGTACAGTTTAATGGGGATGAGAAGGATGGCTGTGTGTGTGAGGTGTTGTACAAATCAGAATATGTTATTCTAAATCATACTTTCTTCTTAATAGTCTTTTTATTGTATCCACACTTCAAAATATATATTTTTAATTTAGCAGAGTAAAAAAAATATACAAACAAATCAAAAAAGAATTACAAAACTAAACTGTAAAATTACACGTGTTATGTAGAAATAACATTAAACACTTGTAACTATGAACAAAGCTTTCTTCTTGAAAAAAAAAAACGAATATTATGTAATGTGGGTAAGTTAGTTATTTTGCACATTTAAATATCCTCCATTAAACATAAACAAGTGCCAAAAAGAATAGAGACTTTATGTAAAATTGTGACGAGAATGTGTATTTTAATAGTGGAAATTTTACAGTCATTTTACAGTATTTGTTGGTGCCCCAAATACTAGAATATTAACCTCTTTTTTTCTTCAGTGTAGTAAGCTCCAGAGGACTAAAACAATATAAACAATAATACAATATAAATAATTTGACACACCTGTCAGTCTGGATTCTCAGCATGTTTCTGTATTTAGTCATGTTTTCTGTATTTGTTGCCTTTCCCCCCCTAAATGCTGGTGAAGATGTTTTCTTAATTTTCCTGTGTTTTGTGTATTTGTTTTGAGCTCTCAGGGTCACTGCATAAAAAGCTGTGGGATGCTGTTCCTTAAAGCAATATAACTTAGACATAACACTACAACGGTGCAAAGAAAATAGACATTCAATTTTTGGTTTTATTTATTACTTGTTCAAATCAATCTGATATATTTTGTTCTGGATTAGTGGATTGGTGGCTGCATAATCAACCTTTTTTAACAGCGTACATTTTGACTTGTCAGAACAGTAAAAGCACAAGTATAACTGGAGTGTCAGTAAGTCGTAATGAGGCAGAATGTTCAATACAGAACCCTCACACACTTGCAGCTAAATGGGTTTTATCTTTTAATTTCACTTGCACCTACACTACTTCTCTGCAGGGATCTGTCAAAAATGTCCCTGGAGGAATGCGACAAAAAACAATTCCACTGTTTCTGTCACTTCACACCTTGTTGAACTTTTTGTAATTCAGAACGAAATACCCATGTTTACTGTACATGCCCTTTTGTCCTTTACGTAACAGGTTATGGAGAGTTTGTGTAGATCTTCAGTTCTGGTTCAGGA